TAAGATTTGATTATTACATCAGTGCAAGCTTCAGATAGACTTCTATCTTATGATATCGTTCAGAAGAACGCTGAAAGCTCCAAGACCAAACCATCCAGCTCAGAGAACAAAACTCCATTAAAACAAGATATCATCAAACGGCTTTTCAAGCAATTTGACGTCAAAAGAACGTAGACTGCATTCGTGATGTGTTGCTATTTATGTATGACGTTTTCACTGAAGTTGGAAAGCTAAAGGCTGAAGATTCTGTTAAGTTAATACAAGACTTCAACAGACGTAAATTTTTGATTGAGGTCATGAACCGATCGATGTTAGACCACTTTTGGAAACTTGGAAGCACTGGACGACCGTTTCGTCCTATTGTGGGACTTCTCAGCAGTGCGCATCCACGATCCCCTCGCGGGATTCAGACCCAGGGCCTTCGGTCACGCGCGCGAACGCTTAACCTACTGACGATTATTATACAATTGTTAATAAATGTTATTGAGAAAAAAATTACAGTGGAATATATTGAGAGAAAGAAAAAGAGAGTGGAATCACTGCGCAATCTCAAAAAACTATGTTTTCATTATTATCATATAAATAGGAGGGAAATGATTCCTTTACATGCAAGTAGTTATGTAAGATAAGTTGTTCATAAACTAAACTCAAAGTCATTGAACATAAAATTACTTCATACACATAAATTGGATACATATATATGAGCTATTTATCTATTTACAGATGAATTCAGTAATTATTCAAACACGTAAGTTTCTTATTTACATGATTTCTAACATAGAAATTCGTACACTTATGTATTTTGGTCAGAATAATCAAATTCTGAACAAAAGTTCGAAACCAAAACACAATAACTGAACATATTAAACTATGATATCACCATTATTCAGAAGTAGTTGAAGTTAACTTGTGAAAATATTTTATTTTGAAAAACAAATTATCCTGTATTAGTTTACTTATGATATTCATTAAGATTCTTCCATCAGTCCAATTAGTGAAATAAGTTTATGTGGATAAGAAACCATATTATTGATTTTTTTAACTAATTTTTTTTCTCAAGTTATCTCAATATGAAATAAATCGATTGAGGTAAGAAATGTTACGTAACTTTAACGTTTAAGACAATCGACTGTTGTTTATTTGTTAGTTTCTATTCAATGAAATAGTTATTGGGTTGATTCTAAAAAGAAATGTCTAGGTCAGAATCATACTCAACTGTTATGGTCATTTATTACATTATATGAACTGAGAAATACTTAAAAAGGAGTATTACATATTGAATTTATAAAAATTACTTGAAGTCACTTACACTAATGAATATATCACAGATAGTGATTGATAAAATTCGATTTGCACTAAACGATCAAACAAACATGACAATGGTCACTACTCAGCGTTCAACCAGTATACTTGGAATGGTAGTTGAAGTGATATATACACGCACTAAAACAATGTAAAATTTCTTGAAAGTAACTTTTATGGTAATCTATTTATGGTACATGAATAGTGTTGTAGTGAATGAGAACTCAGGTGGAGAAGACCAATTCATTTATTTTATTCGAACTTACAGAGTTCTTTCATAAAATATGAAAACCATACATTAAAAACTCATTTACAAATTTTCATCAATTGTCCTTTACATCTTTCATGATTCTTCCAATTCTCGATTTATTACTGTTACCTTCGGTTCAATTTTCCTAACCTTCTTTTGATAGGTATTCCATTTCTGGTCGGTGTTGCACACTACTTATGTCAACAGACATAAGTAGCGTACACCACAATGATATTAAATATTAGGTTCCATCATAATCTGGGTAAAAACTACCAAATAAGAAAATTGATAGTGAAAACTGAATGATTAAATAGAAAGCTAAGTCATAAACGCAAAATCAGATGTTGGTACTGATCAAAACAGGCTGCTTATAATGTTCTACTATACTAAGAAAATTGACTGATTTTGAGTGATTCAAAGTAATTGGCACGAAGCTTTAAAACTTAAGTTTTGAGTTAGGTAGTATTCCCAATACGATATATTACGGTTGTTAAAAGCACTGATATTTATTAATGATATAATATTAAGACAATAGATTATGTGAGAGTGTACAGTACAATAAAACCTAAGGGTTTTAGATTAAGCCAGTTACACCAGTTTGTTAGATCAGTAACATGTTTGAATTGTGTAACCAAAGTTTCAGCACACTATACTCGTAATTATGATATATATATATATATATACCTTAGTGTCTCTTTTCAACTTTAATCACTCGCACATCATAACATCTGTAATGTGAATATTAAATGTTTGATCGACAGTCATATTAAATTCAAGCGTTTACAGTAGCCTTGTATTAGGAGACAATTTGGTTAATGTTACCGATGCTACTATATAATTAGACTGAATAGTTATGTACCTGTAAGAATTATTGATGCAACGGAAAAATAGAGAAACGGATTCCTTGGATTATATTGGAGCTCGTATGATCAAGTCGTAATTGCAACGGCCGTTGTATTTCCTCTCTCTTTAGTTTGACTATTAATTGGATCACCTATATTACCAGTACGATCAGTGACCTATTTACCAGATGACATCAACCAATGAATAGCCACCGAGGTCTCAATGCTTATTTGTTCTCGAGCTGCTCCTTCCAACCAAATATTCGATCATCAGATAATCACAGAAAGCAGATCAGCTATCTATTCTACTCTTCTTCATGACTGAAAACACACAACAATATACCTGAATGAATGATCATACACCAACAAGGTTAGAAAATCACAATATGTACGAACCTTAGTCATAAGTGATAAAAAGCCGTAGTAATAGAGAAATAATTACCTACATGATGATTTATGGGTCAAAGGAAAAATTAGATATAAATTACACAATAAAAATACGTGTAATAGTCTTTCGTCTGATAGTCTTACAAGTTACACTTTCACACTACTCGTCCCATTATATCAGTTACAACCGTTGGCATTTTGTTTTGTCGACTATACAAGCGGTACCATTAATGGGGATTTGAAAAAAGTTCCTAGGAGGTTATGTTTCTTTTTATAATGAACAGGTAAATTATAACAACTACTTCACTCATATGGATACCTGACTTCTTGAGTGTAGACAATATGTAAACCTCGACTAATTAGCATAACGTGAGATATCAAAACCACAGCTTCATCTATAAGTATGACATTTGATCACTATTTTCAGAATGTAGGTCACATTTATCAAGATCAGAATGAGGCCATTACTTAAGTTAGTAAAAAAGTGATTAGTTTCTAGAATTTAGCTCAATTCAAGTAATAAACTTCAAAAGACACAGTTAGCCTGCACAGAAACCTCGGTAAGACCCTAGGTCCGAGTCCCATGTGGGGGGTAGTGGATGCGCACCGCTGGGTAGTTCCATACCAGAACAAAACGGCCGTAGTGATCCCTGTTTTTCAATGGTCTGAGGTTGATCAGTTGATGGTCTCAAAAAAACTTAATAATCTCCACAACCCTATACTGATAAATACAAAATAGAGATGAAGAGTCTAAAGTCTAATCAGTGCTACTCTTCTTTCTGGTGGAGTGAGTGAATACCCAAGGTTGATTCCTGTTGCATGTTTAACGGTTTACATCGAGCCGTTAACTCATTTTTGTCATTTCTATAACCGTATGCTCAAATTAACATTTATCCATACTTCCAAAATGAAAAGCTAGTCAGAATAATGTGCACTGAATAATTAAATAGACTTTTAGATTACATTTTAAATTGAATATACCATATAAATCTGCGTTTTTTCCTGAATGGAAAATATAAAATGCATATGCTATCAAAATATACTTTACAGAACATTTTGGTGCACATGTGACTCAATATTATATACTTACAAATTCAGTAGCTCGCTTTATCGATTGAATTCTCACTAAGCTACCTACGTAAATCTTGTCTAGTGGAATACTGAGTCAGTTACTTGAATTGTAAACAATTATTATCTGTATGCTAGAGAATTGTAAATTGGTGTGAAAAACATCCACAACAAGATAAATAGCTGTACACTACTCGTATAATAGGATAATAATCATTAATTCAGACGTTTCGATTTGTGCTTGAGTATGCATGTCTATAATCCAAACAGATTAACATGTGAGAAGTATCATACTACCTTAAAAGTTGTTATGATGGTTGAAATGAACGACAGAATAATCGAACACAGTGACACTTGTTTGAGAGGACCATTTAAAAAAACAAGGATGAAGTGCAGTTAAGACACTAAAGGATAAGTTATAGAACTGAAGTTTCTAAATGCACACTAAAATATCTATAAAGATATGGATTGTATCTTAAGATGTAACTACCTCATATGGATTAAAAAATATGCAATAATAGTATCCACTGTTCTACAAAAGAATACATGAATCGAATGGTGAATTGTACATATAGTAACCAGTGTTATATACATCGATTTATTCAAATAAAACAACTGACGGTAACGAATCAGAAGGAAAACCAGAGTCACAACATAAAACCTGTATGTACATCGATTCAACCTGTCAAACTCTATTAGCACAAAGATGAAACTGTCAAGCCAAATCCCACAACAGTAGAGGTAGTATCAGTATGAATGGCAATGGAACAAATCAGGCATTCAGGATTCAAACTACTTTGGGCCATGTCATTTAAGGTCTGTAACCATAGGATACTATAATCACGCAGAGCTCAACCAGGTAGTTTACACCTATTAACATGGCTCACTCCAACTTTCGATGATTTCATGAACGGATGTTGTCTTAATTTGGCCGCCCCTACCTTTCTTATTAGCCTACTCTTACATCAGACATTGCCCGTCTAGAAAGGTGGTGGATAGGCATAAGTGACATGTCCCATACACCTAACTTGATGAAGATTCACTACTTAACCAATCGACTTGCCATATTTACCTAGTACTTTATTCATAACCCAGGCATTGCTTATTCTGTGGTCAGAAGGGAAACAAATAAATCTGAGCTAAAGATAACGTTCAGATTGACATCGAAGGTCGAAGACAGAAAAGAACTATAGGTTGTGCAAGTATAATTTTTTTTAAAAACGCATCTCAAGATAGAAAACATCATATCAATTTTAAATTAGTTTTGTTTGCAGAGAAGGCAGGCAGGTAGCATAAATTTCAACAATTCTAACTGTTGACGGTTGGACGCAATATTTGTAGAACAAAAAGGAAAGAACATATCTTAAGAAAAGTAATAAGTCCCATATTTAGTGATGTATTTGACTGCTGATAATGGCTGAAATATATATCATAATTAAACAAGCAATAACAAATATGTTGTTAGTTTTAACATTGATTTACAAATGGAGCAAAGCAAAACTTTTTTATAAAAATCCAATCAGAATCATTAAAAAACCAACAAAGTTAGAAAAAGTTTATTTCTATTTTGTTAAAAAAAATCGGAGGTTTGAAAAACACCAAGGTTCGAAGTTTTAGAGACGCACCTTAGTGTAAAGGAATGAAAATTCTTCCGATACATAAAGCAACCATGATTATCAAGATAATAATACTTGTAGTGTTAGTTAATAGAGAATTGGAACAACCGCCATACACATTAACGTATATATATGTACGCAAAGTAAACTCAGGTTGGCTTTGGAAATTGTGATGTAGTGATGAGAAAAATAACACACCAGCCATAATAGTAGTATACCATAGATAAAGTGTATAGCTGTTCGTGCAAATTGTGTAACAGCATATTTGTGTACTATGAGTTGCCCAAAATAGGTGAAAAATAGGAAAGTAAAACAAGACTGTCCCAGTGATATTTTGTGATAATAATAATAATAGTTTGTAGATAATAGAAAAAAATTCAATTTTCATTAGCTGAAGGCGTAGAAGCATTATTATTATTATTGTTGTGAGTAGCAACTGATCCACCGCTTCCAAAATCACTAGTCATAGAATCCAATTCACTCACTGAATTATGTTCATCTACTGTAACATCAGGTGAAAGTGTTGAAAGTACTGTCGGCAATTGACGATTTGGACGAGTCGTACTTCTAATAATAGGTGAAAAGAAGAATATAATGATGATAATTTTAAAAAAATAATTTTGATATTTGTCAGTCAAATAAAACATGAAACCACAACACTAAAACACTGAAAAAATTCAAATACACAATTTGTTACGTTGATAACGAATAATTTGTAAACTACACATACGCAAAGAGAGGGAGAAAATATCATTATTCCACGCAAAACGTTTCTCTATGTGAGAAGTACACAAAGAAAGGGAATATCAATCACCAGAGAAAAGTAAAAAATCATATAGGATTTTAAACAGAAATACACAACACACCGGTAATGAAAAACATATCAAATCAGTTAGTCTTGATGACCGGAAAAAACTTTAATAGGATGCTATTTATGTATGTGTATGCAGTAGTAAGAAAGGACAGAGAGAATGTGTTGGTACCGCCGGAAAAAATCCTGTGAACCATACAACATAATCACTATGAATTCTCGAAACGGATGAAATTCAGTAAGTTTAACTACATATATGCATACGCCTTTCACGTTGATTGGGGTGTAGTGCTAAAATAATGGTTTTTTCTCTTTATCACACCGACCCCCTTTCCCTCCCAATTTTTCTAGCGTAAAAACACAAATCAGGTGAATTTAGTTTTTTCATCAAAAATGTTTTGCTTGTACTTTTTCCATATAACAAGCACTAAAAATGTGTATGCATCAAACTAGATGATAAGGAAAGCGTAAACCGGAAAACATGTGTGTTCACGAAAAATTATATTTTATATGCTTCTCGCGGCTTTGATCAGGACCATCATCACTGTCGGGTATTGTAATTCACCATAATTGTTCTCGCGGTTGTATGTTGTTTCATTTTTGTTTTTGAAATAAGACTTTTTAACAGGCCATTTGGTGTCTACGAGTTTTTTCATACCCGACACTGTTATATTATCTTCAAACGGTTCACATCCTTTCGATGATGAATAAAAATCGTCAGGGTCTTTTCGTTACGATTACATAATTTTTCTTTTATAACGTCACTATTTGCAGTATACACAAACACAGTGAGAATAATGATAGTTATATTTTCCGTTGTAATATTCAGTTACTGGTGCTGCCCATTATCTATCTGTATATCTTTTACAAATATTTTTAATTATTCGCCCATTCCCACCTATTCTGGTGTATGTCGTTTATTTCTTCTGAGATACCAATTGAAAGTAAACAGAATATACCTGTTGAAGATTGGTTCATAGCAGAGTTATCTTTTCAGCAAATTCATTTTCAAAGCTGTGCAATCACAAATATATACTTATTTTTCAAGATGAAAACAATTACAATGATAGTGATAATAAAATTGTGTTAAACGTGATAATAGCGAGGTAGAATAAGCAAATGTATTAGACCATTGTTTTTATCATGGAAAATAATAATAGATTTATTGTTAAGGGTTAGAACATTTCCTATCTATTGTCATGATGAGTATTCAAGCCCTCAACAATAAAACTACTATATATTTGCGATTGCACAGCTTTGAAAATGAATTTCCTGAAAAGAAAACTCTTCTATGAAACCAATATTTCTTATTTTAATTATTGAAAGCCTGACAGTAGATAATCTATACTTTATTTTCTGTTAGAAGCACATCAACTATTCGAATAAGTTCATATACTTTTAGAGTACATGTTTCTTTTCACGCTATTAGATGAAAAATTGTTTACTACGAGTACAATACAAAAACAAATACAACAAGGTATGTACATTGTTTAACTGGTGTACAATTCCATTCTTCCATTTGAATAAACATAAAGAATACCAGAGCCAATATCTATTTCTTCTTGATGCGATAGTGTTTTCTTATTACTGTCAACGATCAGTTGTTTACGCCCCTCCAGATTATCACTTTTTTTCAACTAACAAAAAAATATTATTATTCACATATAACGTTTGTGTAGCTGCGAAATTTTTCTCTATATTTAAATTGGCAAAAAACCCACTCAACTTGATGATGAACTCGTTTCTAATTGTCGATTAAATCAATCTACATTTACTGTATTATTATTATAAAACGTTATCTTAAAAGTTTACCCTCTTCTGCTGTTAATACTTGGGGTCACACTGAGTAAACTGTTAAAATAAATATACTTAAAAATATAACAGACGTACCGACTAAGTTTACGAAGATTTTGTAGATCTCGTTCAATGGTTCGTTTAGCTTCCATTACTTCTTCCAAATCTCTTTGGAGGCGGCGACATCTTGCATTGATTCTGGCGTTCTCTTCTTCAAGACCTGCTATTTCTCGTTTATTTTGTTTACATGAAGATTGAGCTTTTTCAAAAGATTCCTTCAACGCTTCTGCACATCGTCTCAAATCATCATTCTATGCAGATTGATAAGTCAGACAACATTTACCGGAAAATATTACATACATACATAGAAGTAATAAATAACAATCATAAAAATGATTAATTAATTAATTAAGGTAAAGTAATAAACATCTTCTAGTTAAAACGACACAAAATCAATAGTAATTTCAAATATCGACTGAATACTGATATTTATTAAACAATACGGTTATCATTATCATTACGGTGAATTGAGTGTACACATAACCTAATTAAGATATTTAAAGCTAAACAATTGATGTTTCAAAATATCGTCAGCATTTCGATTTCTTTGGTAATTGTTACTTTTAAATTTTACACATCAACCGTTAGGTTTTATTCATATATGAATGACAATAATTTATTTGCAATATGGTAAGGATAAGTGTAGTTAACATATGATTAATATAGAAAAGAACAAATTGATGTTATTCTCCACTTTCCCCCAAATGCTCTGGGACAGTAGAGGATGGGGAGATTCCGCTCTCTTTCCCGAAATGCTATCATATGGCCACGCGAATACAGTCGCTGACAGGCGGAGTGTTGTTTACTAAATTGAGAGGACCGAATGTCCGGTGCTTTAATCGGGTTGGTGGATATGAAAAATCCATAAAACCCTGATTCCAAAACAGTAGTCATATGGGCTCTAGGATCCTAAGAACAAATGGTGCATGAACCTATTGTTGATCACCGGCTACTATGGGATCGCCTCCTAACGCTGCTCCGCCGCCTTATGAATTAGACCTTTAGGTCAAAGGCTCGGGGAGTGACCACCTAAGAAAACCACCTGCTTTAGTTTGGGCACCTGGACAGTATTCCAGCCCTGATAAATATCGAATGATTTGTGTGACAAATATGTAATTGGTGCATCCTTGTACCAACGTTTGTGTTTAAATGCATAAATAAATTACTCTGTTAGATGTACCTTATAATTTATATAGGAAGACATATATTAGTACAAATCCTAACGATGAATCCATAGTATCTTCAACAGATAACTTGTAGATTTCATCATCGAAGGAGGATTATTTGCTCAAGGCATGACATAAAGGAAGTTGTTTTAAATAATGGGGTGGAATGGAAGTAATTAGAACATTTCACTTGATAAATAATCATCCAAGTAAATATAAATGAGAAAAGCTTCTATGAATCAAATATTAAGTAACGTTCTGACAAATGGACTAGTAATTTACTGCATAGATTCACAAGTTACATATATATACGCATAAGAATGTGATAAATGTTGAAATGAAATAACTAAGATGTAGTCTCATAAGTTTTTAAGATGAATACCGGTAATAAAATAAAAGTAAAGAAAAAACACTAACTTGGAGGATTAAATCTTTGCATTTCTTTTCAGCTCTGCGGAAATTTTTATTTGCATTTAACTTCTCTAGTTTTTCTGCTTCTAGTTGCTCATCTAAGGTTGTCAAACGAGCTTCTAATGTTGCAATTTGAGCTTTACCACGACGACCTCCTTCTTTTTCAGCTTCAACTAGCCTATCGCGTAATTCTTTCACCTAAAATTCCATAGGCGAAATGAAACCATAATTGTGGGAAGGCAAAAATTAGTTTGTTGAATGTGATATAACAATTAACAACTTTAAAGAACGTACCTGTTTTTCAAGAGAGATTCTCTGACACTCTGAACGTAGGAAGTTATTCTTCTCGACGCTTAAATCTGTCTGAGCTTGTTCCATTTGACAGTAGACTCGTTTGTGGCGCTCTTCTGTAGCATCCATGGCACTTTGTATTTCTTCCAGTTGATCCTCTAAAGCAGTAATACGAGCTTCTAAACGCTTCTTTTCTTCCAGTGCTAAAGTTCTAAAGAATATATGAGGTAATTGATTTTAGCCGTAATATAAAATAAAAATCAACACATAAAATTGATAATATTGGAACAAATAAACAACTTACTTGGCATTATTTGCAATAGATAACTCCTCCAAAGCTTCATTTAAATCACTCTTTAGATTACGACAAGTTCTTTCACTTACACCTAAATCTTCTTGAAGTCGAGCTTTATCTGCATCCAGCATACGATATTTCTTGTCCAATTCTCGTGCAGAATCTATAGCTTGATCACGAGCACGGGCAGCATCTTCAAGTTCACGCTGAATGCCACCAGTAACACCTTGGTATTTTTTCAATTGTTTTACAGCTTCTTCTTTTTGTCGATTCGCTAATTCAAAGCGTTGACTAATATCTGCAAGATCAGTTTCCAATTTTTTGCGAACATTAAGATGACTAGCACGTTCTCTTTGTTCTTCTTCTAATTCAGTTTCAAGTTCTCTTATACGTTTAAGAGATTGACGTCTTTGTTCTTCGAGCAAGTCATCGCGAGACGCCAATTCTCGTTCTAGTTGAGTGCGAACAGCATTCATTTGAACCTATTGAATGAAAAATAAACGAAGTTCCTCATCATGAAACAATATACATATATTTAATGCTATGGAAAAGGTGAAAACATTGATTGAATCAACTAACCTCTGCACGTTGTTTCTCCATGGTAAATGTCGAAATCTCATCTTCTAGTTCTTCTATTTGTTGTTGAGTTTCTTTTAATCGTTCATTTAGACGATAGTTCGTTTGTTCCAACCCTACTAAACTCTTACCAGCATCATCCCCATGAGAACCAAGTTCTTCTAATTCACGAGCGAGTAATGAACGCTGGCGTTCTGACTCTTCTAGCTGTTCTTTAAGCTTTTCCATTTCATTCTTTTGTGTGAATAATTTTGTGTCTTTTTCAAGCATTTCTTGATAAAATGCATCTTTTTGAGCCTGAAAACTATTAAGTTGATTAACAGTTTCTGCATGAGTTGATTCTAATTTCTTGATTCGACGTTCATTATTAGCTTGATCAGATCGTTGACTAGCCATGACATGATTCATATCTTCAAGCTGAAAAAAAGATTTATATAATAATCATAACTAAGCAGAGAGTAAAAACAGTATTTGTTTATGATTGAAAGATTCAGTTTAGAATAATAATTTGATGCGAAAAAGGCCATAATGAAAGACTTGTTTCTTTTTCAAAATCAGCTGCAAATTAAACTACAAGCAGACAATATTTCGCTGATTTTGATTTACCGATGACTTTCTTTTATTGATACTCTACATAATCGATGGGAATTAACAAGAACTAATAAAAATGTTTGAAAGTATTGTCTAATATAGTTAGTTAGCTAGCAAGACTACTGAAGAAAAAATTTAAGCCATTTTTAATCGTTAGATCAATAAAAGATATTGAACTTATCGGCTTAGAGTGAAGGAATAAAAATGCATCAACGACTTATGTATATAATACTTGACAAATAAAATAAAACTAAGGCAGTTAATTCTTGTAGCTTGGTTGGTCGGTAGTAGGATAAATAATTTTAGATCAGTTTGTTCAAAAATTTGAAGGGATTCTGAACAAAAATAAGATTTCCAAATATAGTTGGAGCAATGAATGTTCGTTTTTCCACTCCATCAAGTTATGTAACATTCTATTAGCATGAAATGTACACCTTATATATTCACATACTAATTATAGTAATGTAGATAAGAATAACGCTATTTAACATCACCTAAGCTGTAAGTTACGAAACTTATGTAAATAGAACACTATTGGTTGAAATTAAACATATCATTATAAACTGTATAGTTGAAACAAGATCAATTGTTGCTAGAGTTGGGAAGTAACATAACAGCTTACTTCACTTTGTAATTTCTTGCGTGACTTCTCTAACTTTTCAACTTGTGAAACAAGTTCTTCATTACGATTCCGGGTATCATCCAATTCGCGTTGAAGTTTTTTACGTGCATCTTCCAGGGTTTCCAAATAGTGTGTATCTTCCTCCACTTTTTTCTTTGCATCTTGCATCTATAAATTTAAAAAATTTCGTATAGCGAATGAAATTTTAGTAAAACAATATGGAGATTAATTGAGTAAGTAAAGGATATGAGATAGGAATAAGAAAAGAGGGCAAATAGTATGAACTTAGGTATTGTAACCTGTGACATAGGATGAGATGTTTTCCAAGTTAAATAGAAAATTTACAATAAAATCCATTTCAATTTGCAGTACTTACTAATAGCTCAATATGCCTTAAATATTATCACCATCAAGACGTACCAACCAAATGAGTAAAATTACACAGAAAGAATAAGCATAATTGAGTCGGCAAACCTGTCCCTAAAAATTAGCTTGTTCCACTGATTTTTTCTGAATGAAGTACATGTTCTCCATTTCATGGGCAAAAATGCCCAAAGATAGCCCGAGTTCTTATAAGTATGTCCGTAATAAGAATAGATCCCATATATTAAATGGATTATAAAGCGATTTATAATCAACACATGAGTTATATATTTAAAGCCGTTCTAAAAAACATCGCATGGAAAAAAAGGGTAACAACCTGAGTAGTAAGTGCTATAATATGTTTCTCTAGGGCAGTTTTGGCTTGTTCTTCAGCATCCAATGAATCCTTTACTGTTTCTCTTTCATCCTCTACTTGACGTAACTGTAACTGTAAGCTTAATTTTGCCTGAGTTTCTTCTTCCAAACGTGCACGTAAATGATTGAGTTCAGATTGTGCAGAGGTTTCAGAACGCGAGACCTTGCCTAATTTAGTTTCGATTTCTTCCATTGCATTATTCAAACCTTCAATTTCATTCAATGCTTTAGTGAGTCTGGACTCTAAATCATTACGTTGCATTTCTGTTTCTTGCATTTTGACTAAACTTTCATTTAGTTGCTGTTCAACTTGACGACGACGTTTGTCAATTTCCGTTCTAGAAATAAAAAGTGATGTAAAGTGGAAAAGCAGTAGAAAATTTGTGAACTAAAAGTATACACAATTGAATTAATTAAAACTAAAAAAATTAGATTACCATGAGAGCTTAAGTTTTTCTGCCGCTGATGAACTTAAATATGGATTTCTGTCATCCAAATTTAATGAATTACAATAAGGGAAAAATAGGTAATTTCAGGAGACTAGAGGGGTTTATCAACTAGTCATAGGTATCATAAAATCTGGGAATGTATATGGATTGGCCCAATTTTTCACACCATGTAAGCACATAAAGATAAAAAATTCAGATGATAAGATTAGTAGTATTGTTAGTAATAATATATAATAATATAATAAGTTAGAAAAAAAATAACGGGATTTGATAAAAAAAATGAACTCGTAGAATTAAAAGTACAAAACGACTTTAAGACGTAAGTCACAATGAAAACAAAGAGTGAATATCTCAGTACCAATGTGGTGTGCTACTGACGTCGACAGATATAAGTAGTATGTATTACCAATTGAAAGTGAAATGCTTGGAGGCAGAAGGTTATGAAGATCGAAGAAAAGAAATGGAAATGAAGGAACAATAAGGTATGAGACGATTGATTGATATTTTGCAAATGAAGTGTTTATTGTATGCTTTTCAGATTTTACTAAGATATTCTGTAATGTTATATTAAAATAGATTCGATCGTCCCCACTTGTGTCCTCGTTCACTACACCATTATGACTGATTCTGAGACACGTCAACCAAAGTCTTGAACCATTGGTCATGATAATGGTATGTGCTCCAATCGGGGTAAATCTACACCGATTAACAATCAATAAATTCATGAACTGATGTCATGTATATACAAAAACTATGTACGGTTTTTTAAACCAAAATATGCCGATATATCATTTATGTTTGACTATAGGTATAAAAGTCTATCCTTAGGAGCGATGCCAATATGAACTAGTGAATGAATGTGTTTGACCGATGAGATTGCGTCATGAATACTATTATTGATACTAATACGATTAATATATTAGTTTTCAAAAAAGTGACGAACGACAACTTCGCTTCCTGATGTACTAAATATAACATAATTATAAATATCAAAGAATAAAGGTCAGTGATAACTATGTCATAATGAATTGACGTCTTTTAAATGAATGATTTAAAATTGATGAGAAAACTACAGAAAATGACGAATAAAAAAGTCATACATGCAAAAGTAATAGTAATGATAAGTGATTCACATAACCTAATCATAGTAGGACAAATATTCTATGGTTGAACTCCTGAGTCGATTTAAGCTAGACCACCATGGAAAACCTGGAAGAAATATTTCGTCCTAGTATGTGTTCGAGTCCCGTGTGTGGGATCGTGAATGTGTGCTGCTGAGGGGTCCCATACTAGGATCGAACTGCCGTCCAGTTCTTACAGGTTTTTCATGGTGGTCTAGCTTAAATCGATCTATGAATTCAACCATTAAATTACTAAAATTTCCACAAACCCCCATTTTGAAAATATTCAATGACTTATTTTGACACATACACATACAAAAAAAAGATGAAAACCAATACAACAGACTATTGGGTATTTTTATGTACTATATATATATACTCACTTGTCTTGTTTAAGGCTTTGGATTTGTTTCTGTAATGCATCAGTTGTTGAATCTTGTTGAACTTTTGATCTTTCTAAGGAAACTTTACTTTTTTTAAGTTGTTCAATTTGATCGTTTAATGTTTCTAGAGTTGCGGCATGAGATTTGCGCATATCTTGAATAGTAGCTTCATGGGCGCTGAATGAATATATTACATGAGAAACAAATGAACAAAACTAAATAATGAAGAAATTAAGGTAATAAAGTATTATGACAAGAGATTGAATAACAATTGTGATTTAATATGTTGCACAAAATTACGCGTATTTAATAAGGTGTCATTTAAGTGACTGAATATTTTCCTATTTAGTGAAGCTATAAAAACTGATCTATTGCCAACAGGTTGTGCATTGATTTGAAATAACAACTAGATAAATGTATTATTAAGATGGATAAGAAACGTGTTATTAGTTATGCATATACAGACTGAACGAAATATAAAGTCACTGAATATGGAGTATACATTAAACAGTGAAGAAATTATGTTGGTCAAACAACGTAATAATTGCATAAAGACATTAGATATAAACACCTAGTATTAATATGGAAGACTTGAAACCATAACATCAAAGTCTTCTACTGACTGTCCAGTTAACTAATCAGTTATAGTTGACGATTATTTACAATTTAATGTGAGTAGGATTTTTATAGAACACGATTCTATTAGAAAGTATGCTTTTAAATCTTTTATATTTAACTGAACAAACAATAAATCAATATACTTTCCTATCCAAGTGTAAAGCTAACAGCAGTCTTCTGTTTAGAAGAACGTAACATTGTCGATCTCAGTACAAGTCCTGAGGAATGCTTTTATTTATCACTAGGTAGTATTTAGATATGAATTTTCCCCAATGTCCTACAGACGACTTGTATAAGTGTTTTAACTAATCATTACACACAAGGGGTTGCATATGTTGCTTGAAAACAGTACTACATACTTTGACTGAGCTTCAAGCTGATGACGTAGGTTGGATAAATCAGATTCATATTTTCGGAGAGCTTGAGTTTGTGCCTCGCTGTTTGTTCCACTGTCAATGAGTTCTAATCTCATCGCCTCCACTTCTTCCGTCAGATCTCTTTTAGCTTCATCAGCTTTGTCACGAGCCATTCGTTCAGCTTCTAAGTCTTCTTTGAGTTCTTGAATATGTGATTTATATTCTCGCACTGATTTTTGTGCCACAGCTTTGGCAACAATCTCTTCATCTAATCGATTTTGTAATTGAGCAACTTCTGCCTCAAGTTTAGCCACTGTGGCTCGGAGCTCCTCAACAATCCTAGACGATTCCGATGCTTGATCTAGACGTTCGGAAGCCTCAGTTTCAAGTCGTCTTTTTGCCACTTCGATATCTTGACGAGATTTTTGTTCACGGACAAGTTTATCCTGAAGTTCATTAAGGTTACTTTCATATTTACTTTTAAGTTTAGTTAATTGTTTACTACGCTCTTCTTCTTCTGCTAACTGACTAGTTAACAAATCTATTCGATCAGTCAACTGCTTTTTGTCTTTAACAAGTTTATTATATTTATCTTCAATGCTAACATAGCCATCGTTAAGTTGAGAAACTTTTTGTTCGATAGATGTCTTTTCAACTTGTAATTTTTGGCGTTGTTGTTCTTCCAATTCTAACTGATCTGATAAATCTGATATCTGTTAAATACAAATCAAAAATTAAATAAATAATAATATAATAGAAATAAAATTATATACAGGAGTATACTACATCGAAAAATGCATGAGAATACAACTTTGAAATTTAGCCCATGAATTACGGGCAAGCTTTTTTGATTTAGTGAATTAAGAACAGTTGAACAATCGCTGTGAATCTAAACATCTTATACACATGTATTTCGGTAGTTTAACAGTAAATATAGTGAGACCAATGAATTTGAAAATACTATGGTAAAAATACTTATATGTACGTGCGAATGAGCGGTACTAGAATGGGACAAAGTAATTCATTAGTGAGATGTGTTTTTGTGAATTTAACTCTGATAGATTGAGATTGCTTTATAGAGAATTAAGTTGAAACCTTAACTATATAGCCCTGAGAACTAGAAAGCATTGGAAAGATGTTTTGTCTTGGTTTAGATTCCTCAATATTCTGCATCTACGACCCCAGAGGAAATCGGACCAAGAACCTTCAGGTTTGAGTGCTTAAGATTCGGAAACAAAAATAATATTACTACAATGACACAACTTGAAGAAAACGTGCAAAATGAACAACAGAAGACAAGTCTCAATCAATTTAGTAAGAAATTGACAAATATATGAGGAAATGTCAGTTCATGACATTTAAAAATGAGGGGGATAGAACGTAAGCCATACCAGAAAATACGTATATATACGAATAACAAAAACGGGTGACGAAAAAATACTGATAACTCAGGGAATATAATAAAATCTAAGCAGTACATGTATGAATTTAATTAACTAAATTCGATATAATTAATTAACTAATTACTGGTTCATGTACCATCGAACTACAAGCTAAATTTTATGTGAAAAGACTAGTAGTACAATCCTACTACTGCCCAAACCGAAGGCGGTTTCTAGTTATTAAAGGTGGAGTATTTTAACCGTTCCATTATCGAATATACATTTCAAGGAGATGATCAGAATACAAGAATCCATGAGAATTTACCTGTTCTAACAGACGTTTTTGTTCAGCTTCCAGGTTATGTAATTTTGATTTTTCTTCACTATCTCTATTCTCAAGTTCCATATAGTCTTCTTCTAAAGTTTGTAATTTTTCGCGTAGACGATCACGCTCCTACATAACACCACAAAGAAAAGAAAAGGTCTCTTTGAGTGAATTATCGAAAACATCCTAACGATATAAAAAGATATTTGATCGAAGATATTATCTGATACGCATACACAAAAACTTACTGTCTGTAAATTTTGATTTGAATCGTGTTCTTGTTGTAATTCAGCATTTAGCTGGACTTTCTCATTGCTTAACTTTTCGTAAGATCTTTGCATTTCATTAAGCTCACTGACAACTTTTTCCATTTGTTCACGAATCTAAAATAAAACAATATCAAAGGAATAAATGTAGATCAATAATATATTTGTAATCTCCCAATGAGTAGACGTTTCGTGACTTAGTGCAAGTCACTTCTTCAGAGAATAAATAAAAAAGACAAAACGATTATCATCACAAAAGCCGACAAAGGCAACACAACAGTAGTCATGAATGAAACAGATTATATTAATAAAGCTCTTGAACATCTCTCAACAGAACCATATGAAAAGATCAATCCGAAAAATTCTCTAACGATTAAAAACAAAGTCAAATCAGAAACAAGTCAACTTTTGAAAGAACTAAAACCAGTCATTGGTGTCTCGCTTTGTTTTGCTCTGCATCCGAAATCACGCAGTTTCACGGTTTTATGGTTTACTGAAAATACATATACCAGATATCCCTCCAAGACCGATAGTAGACTTTACCAACACACTAACATATGTGTTGTCAAATATCTAAGCAACATATTAAAATCACTACAGCTTAACTTACATAATATGATTAAAGATACATATGACTTTAAATTAAAATTATCGGAATTAATTATCGAGAAGAATGAGATCATGGTAAGCTTTGATGTCCTTTCTTTATACACCAGTATTCCCATTGATAAATGCTTAGAATTTATCATTGGTTTATTAGAGAACGACAATACTCTTTCTGACAGATGTCAGAAGAACTCCAAAGAATCTTAGAACAACACAGAATTAAAGTATATTACAAAACAACGGGCACACTTCGAAATACTTTAGCTCGCTTAAAAGAAAAAAACCCTTTCATGTCCACACAGAACTGCGTCTACAAATTATGTTGTATCGATTGTGATGCCTTCTATATTGGAGAGGAATCTTGACTAGAGCCAAAGAACATATTAGGTACACAAAGAAACCTCCTAACAATCCCGTAGAACTGGATAGACTTCAAATTAAATCGGCAATAGCAGTTCATGCCATTTTCAACGACCACCAAATTGATTTTAAAAATATCAAAATATTGCAAAAAGGCTTTTCCAATTACAAAGAAAGGAGAGTAGCTGAAGCGTTCCATATAATGCTTAATCCTACTTCTCTCAATAGAAAAGAAGGCCTTACCATAAATACTACTTAGACTATCTATCTTAGCCATTCAGTCTGATCTTATTTACAATTCACACTATCATCTTACAAATTCCTTGTGGGAAGGCAGCATCGCTGTCATGCTCGTTGTCTGAAGGAAACACCTTACTGCTGTCACACCTCTGTACAGTCAGCAATACGACTTCGCCTTCGGACCTTGGGTTTTTTGCTTTTAGTCTTACCACTCTTCAACCGACCTGTCTGACATGGTAGGACCTTGAGGAACGGTTGTTCCAGCCAGTATAGCTCGGTTGCTACATCATGATAGGCAAGACCGACCAACACGTCAAGGTAGCAACAACGAAATGACATGACATTAACTTGTTCAGACCTGTTTTTGATTGATCACATATTCTTATTGTTCCGTTGTACTATTTAAACTGGCATTAATTTTAATTTGGTTATTTATTCTCTGAAGAAGTGACTTGCACTAAGTCACGAAACGTCAAAAAATCTACTTTTTCTACTCATTGGGATATTACAAATATATTATTTATTTATTTATAACAATCTACCCAATGCTCAATCTATTTGAAATCATCAAATCAAACCTTGGCAATGATACCTAGAAGAATAAATGTACAGATTACTATTAGATCCGATAAAATATTAGGTAAATAAATATGATTGATTGTACAAAATGAACCTGGTCACATATCGTCATATTCTTTTCCGAAATAAACCAGTTAGATATTGATTAACAAGCTTAGTAATAGGACATTTAATTCACTTAAAACAAATTATGAAAGACTACCTCAGCATCTGACGATCATAAAAGGTTGATGGAGGGAATACTAACTCCGATCTAATAAAGTAATGACTGAATAGTCTGAAGATAGTACGAAGAGGACAGGTTTATAGGAATTTCATACATTTATGAACTGGAGTATGAAACACAGTTGTGAAGAGCAAATACAAAAAAAATACTTTGTACTTCGAGAATTTATTTTTTCTTCTTGAATATTTTTTACCATAATTAATATTACCACTTCGGTATTTATATTGTCATATCACCTTGCAATCCTTACTTAGTGTAGAAACTTGAACTGATGAATATCTGTGCCAGGTTATTTCGTCGGTATGACTGACTGGAAACAGATACATAATTGGATTTTATTAGGACTTCAAGGTTGAAATAAGATGTGATGGAATTTAAAAACGACTATACATCATTACTTTTAAAACGAAACTATAAGCTTGTATCCAAAATGATATTCAAACTAACCTTCCGAAGCTCTTCTTCTTTAACAGCGACCAAATCTTCTTGGCGAGTAACAGTAAGAAGTGGTCTAACTTTTGTAAACAAACGCCACCAGGGCCAATTTCTCAGTTTAAGGTAAGCATCACAATTCCTTTGGATTATTTTGCTAGCTTGAATGTTTTGTATGCGTTGTTCCTTAGCTCTGTAGAAAACAGAAAAAACGATACCCATAAAGAATATAAACCAGTTAGATATATACGGAGAGCGTTAATAACAGATACCAAAAGAGACTAGATGAAACATTTGAAACAGACAATTGTACTTTCTGTTTATACAGAAATGTATAGATATATATACAATGTAATATTGCACTGCGGATTTTGATGAAAGTTTCAACATCAGAAGAATGATAGTTTTTGATTGCTTCAAGTTCGATTAAAAACTGTTTAGACAGTTAAAGTCCCAGATTCATACTAGTGCCTACAAAATAAGAAACCTAAGGTCTGCTGTGTCCAAAGAGCAAAGATAAAACTTATTCGACGCACAGAAACGGAATCAATGATCAAACAACGAAAGGATATTAGCTTAAAATCGTAAGACATGACGAAAAACATAAACTAGCAAACTGATCAATTAACAAACTTACCGTCGGGCTAGATAACCACGAGCATATGCTTGGAATTTAATGATCGAGTTAGTCAAGTGTATATCACGGTCTTCTTCTAACTGAGCCAGAACACCAACTTTGAAAAATATTTTACTATGACCAATGCAGTAGACGTCTTGACTTAAGTCGAGAGCCTTCAACATCTCAGTAACGGCTTTACGACCATCCATAAATCCCTGGGATTGGATAAAGAAAGGCCATTTTATTTTAAAATGTAACGTGAATTTATCAAGTTTTCAAGAAACATTAATTCATTTATCAAGCAAGATTTTGTAAAAATTAGTTTTGAGACAACTTTTTGTGGAGGCTATTGACACTAATTGGCAACCCAAAACGAAGCGCATGGGACGGCATTCAAAGTCATAGCCTACTGATTGAAAGTTGAGTGTCTTAATGATCGTTTCATCCATGATCACTTCATTTGACATGCTAAGAGTATTTCATTTTTCAGTTCGAAATAACAAGGATTTTTAAATCCGTGAATGTGATGTGAAGTGCAGAAAAATAATTTCCTTACGAAGTCGTGTGTGTATACAGTAAGACATCACACAGTATTTAAATGAAGCTTAATTTTTCAATTTTCAGAAACCAAATGAATATTTTAACAAAAACCTACACTTAATCATGCATATTGGCATTGGTTAGTACATACAAGAAAATAGGTTAAGAAGGATAGCTTAAGCACTAATGACTGCTTAACCAACAATAATGAAAGCAAATTAGACAGCAGAAGCTTGGTATATATATGATCTATAAAAAGTTGGAATACAGAGTGAGCAGTGTACAAACTGACTTAATATACAGAATACTAAATTAATCCTAATACTGCATGAAAATTAAAAGATAAATTAGACTTATGAATAGATTGTTTAGAAATATGTGACGTCTTTGTATGATTTGTACAAATGGGGAATACTTCTTGACCTAAAAAAGCAGTGTTACAAACCACAAATTGTTTGTACATAAAAGTGGATTTTTAGTCACGAAATAGGACGCATTTCTTTTATCCAGTTGAAAAACTATTCTTAATTACTGAAATTGGCATTCCAAACGAAACTAGAAATGATAAAAAAACTGACGGGTTTTTGAACAACTGATAGGTAATAAATAAAAAAACTTACAACAGAAAATATGATATTTAGTTAAAATAGTACTGACCTTTGGGATAACATTTGGAGTTAAAATTTCATATCTCTGCCTGAATTCCTGGAAGAGGATACGCGAGGGGAAACCACGACGACAAATCCTTATGCCCTCCAGCACACCATTACATCTAAGTTGTTCCAAAACTAAAGGACCATCAATTCGCCCTGGCTTTTTTTCATGATTTGGAATGATACAACGGACAAAGTTTGGAGACGTATTTTTCAATACAGTCATCAAACGTATAAGTGAATCTTTGTAGAGTTGACTTACAGTACGGAACATTCCCCTTCTAACACTACGAGCAGAACCGAAAGCGGTGTCGGTCGTAGTAGTGGCTGACATGCTTACAATTTCGGCATCTTTCCACATAGCCTGACAAAAAATAAGACATGAACAATAACAACCGAAATCCTACTGTAAAGCGATTTACAGAAAGGTTACAAATGCTGTTGAGACAGCTTATGACAGCATATGGACAAAATTTTGAATTCGACCTAGAATTAGATCGATTAACCAAGATAAAAATCACAAGACTTTAAAAACAGTTGTTGTCTAATTTACATGATCAGTGATATAATCAAGCAGGAAGAACTCATTGAAAAACGACCCAACTAGTATCAATAAAAATTTATTGAAACTCCTATCGATTTTATTTACTGTGATCACTTAAAAATTCAGTCTCCACGAGTGTAATAAAGCTCATATCTCCGCTGATTTGTTACAGATTTATTGTATTAAAACACACAATATTCAGCAAAAGTTTAAAAGAAGCACTTAATTTAGAGATTATTTTGCAAACTAACTGATGTTTGCAGTTTACTCTGGTTTAATTCGTATTTTGCTACTATTAATACTAGAAATTCGAATTTTCAAATCAACTGCCTGATATCAAACGTTTACATGCTTGTAAAACATGTAAAGAAATTGAAATTAAATATGATGACAAAGGTGAAAAGTCAAGAAACAATTTGCGAGTATGTTTAATATTCTGTTTACAAAATGTTACGCATCAAAAACTTAGATGCCAATTTTATCGTCTAAGTGATATACTTACTTGTCGAAGGATACAGTAGTGAGGTAGTAATACTATTTGACTATTCAAATGAAACGATTTTTAAACTCGATACTTGAAGACTAATTTAGAAAGGATTCAGGAACCAGATCATAACCCAAACCCCATTTAAATATGGTAGTAATTAAAAAAGAGCTGTCGAAAACTAACCTGAACAAATGGATCATTTGATGCCTGAAGCAGTGCGACCACATTATCGTTGAGAGGATCCATATTTTTCATTAGCCATTGATTTGAATTATATTCAACTCGACCAGCATAGTGAATAACACCGAAATCAGCATTAGATCGAAATTCAGTTTTACACAGTTTTGGATGTTTATCCTGAGATTTGATGAGTTTTTCAACAAACGACTTGTCAGTTCCCTTAGGGAAGAAGCATTCTTCATCCAACAAGGCGAAGATACCCATAGGCTAAAGTTAGAAAGAAACAGGACTTCTGATCATTGTGGTTAAGATATAAATAAAAGTTTACTCATCTGGATTTAAGAAGAGGCTCAGCATATCCCAAAAGTAGTAGTCCTTATATTAGGTATTGTATAAATGAAGGATAATTTAATTGCGTAGCTCGCCAGCTATGGTTATCAGTAAAAGAATTGATTCATTTTACCTTGTTGTCTGGTACAGTGACTAGTGGGGAAAGTAGGTCAAGACAAAAGGGGGACTTTGTTCATTATCGCTGTCAATGGTGATTCTATGAGAAATTTCAAATAGGGGATTATTTGGTGATCTTGAAAATTGGTGATTAGGGATAACAGTTTTTGAGATCATGCGAGTTTTTCTTACCACAAGTGAAATGTCACAAAACGATAACTAAAAGGGATTTTTCAGTAGGTTCTAGTTAGATTTTTTGATGGAAACGAAGGAGTCTATGATAGGAGTCGTTTTGAAACCGAGTGTTCAGACTTTTTCTACGAATATGTTTTAGATCTCTTTTCATTCTTTAACTTATAGTTGAGACCCTATACTGATGAATTATAGAAGTTAAGGGGACCAAGTATTAGTCCGCCGAAATTTTTCTCACAGTTGTTAGGTATAGTTGAAGAGAAAGAATCCATCAAAAACAAATAAATGGAAGAGGACCGAAACTAATCTTGAAGCAATAAATCATGGGAGAATTATATAAACAAGTCATTTGCCTATTATTATTTATCCTACAAGATTTAATCTATAGCATTATGGTCAGGAAAAGCTATAGTCCAATGATCTAAATAATATAGCCAATTATACAAATTCAATGACAAGTGGCATCTCATTTCCCGCTGACATGACTGCTTAAACAGGGAAGAAATTTGAAGTAGCAACAATTTATGAATTTCTGTAAATGTTTAGTGGTTGCTGTTAGTTTGCAAAAAACCTTGGACCTATGTTTCAAACCAACGGACACTCATCAACAATAATTGCCCAGAATCTTCATGGAACTGATGCTTTCCGTAGAATTCGAACTCACAACACTCAGTTCACTGTCTAACGTCACTACTGAGTTACTTAGGCAAAAACTGACCTCGTGAGACTGTTGGAGAGAGTTCATATAAAATTCTTAATATCTTTAGCAAGGAAAACTGCCAATTGTTAGTCTTTAGTATTTATGTGAAAATTTCTCACACATTCCCAATGTAAATTAAAACCTATGGTAACCCATCAAATCTAAATGGAGTAGGTTGTACATGTTTTAGAAGAAAAATATACAGAAAAATCTATGTTGATACTTTGTTATCAACGTTGAATAAGTGTGATATTTAATATATGCGTCAACCATGGAATGAGAAGTTAAGTAGGTATAAATCCATTCAGGTTCGTAAACATGCGTTAAATCGAATGAACAAAGATTTATAGTGCAAAAAGTTCATACGATAATGAACAGTTACCGGTACAAAATCAATTACCGCGAACTGTCTGGGTAATTTGAATTGTTCAACTTACTCGTTCAATTAGATCGATTGTCGGTTGCAAATCAAGTCCAAAGTCTATAAATTCCCATGGTATGCCTTCACGAGTATACTCATCTTGTTCTAAGATAAACATTGTATGGTTAAAAAGTTGTTGAAGTTTCTCATTCGTATAATTGATGCATAGCTGTTCAAAAGAATTCACCTGTGAAAAAAAAAAAATTAAAACCAATAGATTGTCGCAAATTGACTTATTTATCACAATGAACAAGTGTGGTTAGACAAAAATAAAGTTTTTTAGCAGAAACAAACTTTAAAAATTGATGTGACAACTGTATTTTCAAATTCTCTGCGAAATTGCTACGTACGTGAACCGACTACCAGTATGAGCTGAAGATGCATGCAGTTGTAGAATAATCAGTTAGTTGGGGCAATGTGAGAGTATGGCACAAAAGAGTATTACCTAATCATTTCAGTATTCTTAACAACACGAAGAAAGGTTAATAGAGTGTAAAAATAAAGTAACTATGACATCGATTTCAATCTTTTTTATTTAATGAGGACAGTCTTCTATGTAGTGCTTTAAGACTACAAGTGTCAGTGTAGATACATTTATCTTATTATAATTGGTAGGTAGTTTATTACGGCTTACCCTATAACATTCATCTGAACGGATTTTTCAGGTCCTATTGCTATTTAAGCTGTCTTCACTTATAGTAATCCTTTTACCCTGACTACAGCTTGGAGGCAGACATCAAAAGAATGAATAGTAACTGGAAAAAACTAGTTAGTTGGAGAATCTTGGTCGGCAGCCTGTGCTCAATGAGGGGTAACAGGCGTAAGTAAACAGCTTGCGGTATGATATGGACGATGTACCAACCTGGATCGATGTTATGGTTCCAATTCCTAAGTTGTTTATATATGTGTCTCTCTATCAATAATTGGTCCAGTTAGATAACTCAAGTACTTCAAAGTACAAAAGGCACGGAGATAATACCAAACTGTTACAAAATATCAACTCACTTGGAAGATTTCGAAACCAGCTATATCGAGAATCCCGACAAATGATGCACCCGGTCGTCTAGTTTTGTCAAGTGTTTTATTTATTCGTGCGACTAACCAAAGAAAGAGCCTTTCGTAGATAGATTTTGAAATAGCTTCAACAGCGAATTCCACTTGCGTCTTGGTTTGAGCTTTTGACACCAGATCTTTCCCAACTTTGATGCGCGGTTTCAAAAACGCTTTGACCATTTCATTCAGAGGGATACCCAGAAGATGGGATACCTTTTCAGCGACTAGGGAAGGTATTAAGGTATGTGTTAATTGTTATACGAATAAAACATTAGGGTAGATTAAGATTTTACAACTGTAAAGTATGGTAATAAATTGAAATCGTTACTATTGATAAATTCCATAAAAAAGAAATCGGATATCATAAACATCTGATAACATTCGGCTTCTATAATAATAAAGTAGTCCCACTAAAAACTTTTAGAGTGCTCAATTGCTACTTCTAGAGCTTATGTTTGCAGTGGTACAATTATGATCTAATTGTAAACTGGCATCTAAAATGATTTACCCTATTTATAGCAAATGGTCAAGAGTTAACCTGTGAACAAAAACTTTGAAGTATCGTTTACAACTGCTGAACAGAAACCACGAATAAATAAATACACAACTTTTTTTAGATCAGTTATTATTCTAGGACTTTGGTGGACATTATTTAACGTATTCAAATTTTAGAAGATGGTTCGCCGTAAGCTCTAACCTGACTAATAGTATTCGGGCAAAGAGAATCCAGTAGGTTAGTGTGCTTTATTAGCACGAATTCCAATGACAGGAACTCCCATAAAACTTGATTAATGTGATAGCATGCCGACTGAAATCAAGAGATATAGCTACAATCAGAAAGTGGGATAAGTATATCTATATTTCGAATCCTGGCCAAAGGATAGATGATCCGGTCAACTCAGTAGCTCCGGGCGTTATCACATATGGGTCAAAACAGAAGCCGATGGGATTTTGCCGCAGTTATCCTTTACAATCTTCATAAATATGAGAGGAACTTCTTTAACTGAAAGAACTATTCTTTGTTGCGTTTTCTAAACCGGATTGTATTGTTAACTGGTGTTCATCTTATTATACACTGTTTTGTAAACGACTTTTTTTCTTTTTTCTACAAATTTACTAAATTTTCTTTATGATGCTATACACATACTTTGTATGCTTAGATAATAATCGGAATAATCCGGTCAACATATTAATACCAAGGGCTGACGCCTGTGATATCGTGTTAAAATACGAACGTAATTAACATATAAGTGATGTATGGAACTATGATACCTAATAACAGTATGTACTTAATGCTATTAAAAACTCTGGTAAAATATTTTAGCGAAATTGCTGTGTACCACATCAGTAATCGCAACATAAAAAATAGTGATTTGGTATGATGTAATATCTGATTCAATAAAGTATTAATCATTTCAATGTTTATGAACATGTTTCATTTGAAGATATGATCACAAACTGATAACTGTGACTAAAAAAACCGTAAACCTTGTCTTTATGTACTTTAAGCCATTTTGAGCAACATTATGTACACGAAACTGAAATATGAATATTAACCCATGGAATATGACGTATGGATATCAAGCAGTAAATCAAAAGTTGACAAACATTATACAACTAACTCAGTGTAATAGAGCATAACGAATTTCCAAACACTAACCTGAATGATCTGGTAAAGTTGCTTGGTCAGAACTTCGTTCCTGACGAAATTCTAAGTTTCCTAGATGAAGCACAGCAGATATCACGCGGAATATGGCTAAAATAACAAATTATAAGAAGGATAAAGTATTTGACAACCACTGAATTTGGAAGGTGTAAAGTAAATAAGTTTACTCGACAAGATATCAACATTTTATTTGCAGAAACAAGATATCTAAGTTAACTACATTAAACGTACCATTTTGATCTTCGTTATTAATTCCCATTATATCCATGGCTTCAGTTGTTTCACGGAAAAACTGTTGCTCATCGATCCCCGGAAGTTCGATCATACCATTTGAAAGGAAACGATAAGCACTAGCATGATTTAATAATAGTTGTTGTTGCATTGCTGGAGTAGCTGATGCCAAAAGCTGATAAAATATGTGGAAGCTGCGTTCATCCACTGCCTGACGAATAACACGAGCTTTCTCTAAAAGATCTATACTATGATAAGGAATTAACAATCTCCGCATATGACTTTAAAATAAAAATTAAAAAAGCGGTCAAATATGAAGATGGCACCAGTTAATGAAACGAAGTAACCTCATGCAGGTTCAAAAAGATAACATAGATATGTGGTTCACAACTCAAGATGATTGCTTGGAATAAATTCTAATGACACAAATATACTCATTTTTTATCCCTCAAACTTAGTTTTTAGTGATTGTCGTCTAATTTTTTTCTTTGATACATATATTTTTTAACTACGTATATATTCCATCAATGTTGATTTCTTTGTTATTCTTAAGTGAAAAAACACGAAATGCTGAATCTTGTTCAATGGTCAGAGAGGATACGTGTTTTGTTAGACTAACTATAAATACAAGTAATGCATAATTTCTGTGATTTGGATGTCAGGAGCTCAAGATATATGGGGGATTATTTACATTATGTAGGGGTCTGAATGAAGGTGCAACCTCAAGGCAATCATGTGTTTAAATTGATTTATTATGTGTACCATAACACTTAAATTAAAACACACAAGTTCCATATTTATAATACATTATTTAATTGACCGAATGAAGAAAAACTTAAAAGCAAAAGCCGTACGTACACAAGAACCAATCATAAAAGGGATACATGTTTCAATATTAGCTCCAGCAATGAATCCAGATGTGTCAAAATTAATACGAATAAATTTACCCTACAAAAAGAAATTATTAGTTATTTATTTAAATATCAGATGGAAAATGATACATAAAGTGAAAGACCACAACATAACTTGTAGCATAGAAGTCAGTGAGATAATTATCGAACACTTAAAGTGGTAACATTAAGATGATTTTCTTGCACTTATTGTAACCTAGTAAACTAATAAACACAAAAATTCAGTCACAACGTAAAACCTGTCATGTATGTACGTCAATTCAAGATGCCATACTCCATCAGCAGAGGTGAAACTGTCAGGCCAAACCTCACAACAGTAGAGGTAGTAACAGTATGAATGGCAATAGAATAAATTAAGCACTCATGTGAATGTAAATTAGTAAAACAGAAACACAAAAAACGCTATGAAGAATTTAGAATCTCAATATTTGGGGGAAGACAAATAATGGATGCACATGAGCCATTTCAAGCTACTTTGAGCCATGTCATTTAAGGACTCTAACCATTGGTTACGATAATCACGCAGACCTCAACCAGGTAGTTTACACCTATTAACATGGCTCACTCCAACTGTCGATGATTTCATGTCATATCTAGGCTTGGCCGCCCCTAGCTTTCTTATAGTTTACTTCCACATCAGACACTGCCCGTCGAGAAAGGTGATGGTTAGGAATAAGTGACATGTCCCAAACACCTCAGTAGATGGAGATTCACTACTTAATCAATTGAAATGCTATCCCTACCTAGTACTTTATTTCTAACCCAGGTATTTCTTACTCAGTGGTTCACGCACAAAGACTTCTTATCTACGAATAGGTCAAACTCTGTTTATCTCACCCAAAAGTATTTTATTAAATTACTTGAGCTAATTAGCTAGCTAATTCATAGGAAAGGGCTTGGATAATCAGCAATTAGAGATTTTTACTACTCATGTTTTGTCAAACGATATATAGTAGATTTTGTGTTGATGGGACTAAGTTCACCGTGCAAACGTTTTCCTCTTGGAGAAGCAGTAGATCGAAAATATGGGGCGATTGATAAATGGATAGGAGTGTAAAACAAGAATTTGACAGACCACAAAAAAGTGTGCATAATAGTGGAGCGATAACGAGAACTGGTTGCATGTCAGCGAGTGACATCGTTCAACATTTGGAAAATACAATCATTTGTAACTAAAATATTAAGCGTAATCATCATATACGTTGATTTATAATAGTGGCTCTACAACAAAAAACAAAATCCTAAAATTAGGTGCGGTTTCCGGCCAGTTGAAAAGAAAGTTTTGAAGAAATGATTCACTTACAAAACGTGAAGAATTATCATTTTTAATTGTTTTGGCATTCCCAAAGGCTTCAAGAATGGGATTTGCCTTCAAAAGTTGTGCTTCAAGTTCACCCTGTAAGATGAAAACAATGTATAGAAGTGAAATGAAATGTAAACAGATATCAAACACCATAACCTTCACCAATAAAAAATAATTAGATAACAGGTTTATGTTAATGACCAGTAATCATTGTGACACGGATTCTCAAAAATAATTTTGAAAAAAAAGAACCCTTAAGGATCACCATTCATCATCAACAGTAAAATCAAGTGCACAAGGAATTTGTGAAAGACTCATCGTGTACATAAAGCAACTGTAAACTTACAATACTGAAATCTTTCGTCTAAAAATTAAATTAAAAGCCAGATTAAAATAATACTATCGAGTTTTGAACAGGGTCCAATCACATTATTAATTGTAACTCATTATTCAGTTGTAAATCATGTAACAGAATTGCTGGTAAATTAGGCAGTGGATATTGAGCAAAACTATGCAATATTACAGTTCAGAAACTGAGGAACATGTTGAAAACCATATTAATGGAGGTAATAATATAATTATATTGTCATTATTAACTTTCTACCCAGTATCAATTTATTCGAAACTACTATTCCTAACCTTGGTGTTGATATCGATTAACGAAAGTGTTCTCGTTACATGTGTTTACTCAATTAAGTTGCAACGTTGCTTTTCCCAGTTACGAAATAATAGATGAATAGACGCTGATATGAGACAAAAATTTGTGGTTGAGGGTTATACGAGTCGCATGAACCTAAACATATAAATCTAAATGTCTATAGAGTTTAGCGAACGATCTGGGTGCTCAAAAATAACTATAACCGCATGTGAATCAAACCATGGAATGATTGCAAGTTATCTTTTTTATTACACACATCGGCTGAGATTTCGACTACATAAAATTAGGGATCAGAAAAGGCAAATAAGATATGAGATATGACGGAAAACTGGTCCACATGTTTTGGAAATAGAAATTTGAGAGCCTATACGGAATAACTTATTATCACGTTTATAAAGCATGTGTCCAAATATCAAATTTGTCAGAATAGGTTGAAAAAGTACTTACGTTAAACTTTGACATTACATTTTTGGCTGATGTTTTTTGATGTTTTGCAGACGTGGCAACACATGCGAGGTATTGTATTACCTTTTTCGTATTTTCAGTCTTTCCAGATCCTGATTCACCGCTACAAGATCCAGTAAAATTGAACAACACACTTACGTGCACAAAATCGACTGATCCTCACGGTCTGTAACACACATAACTCAAATTACACATGATTACCTTGAAGCATGCTACGGTAAGCTCCGTCAGCAATAGCGAATATATGTGGTGGTCTTTCATGGCGCTTTTTTCCTTTATACCACTCTACTATCTCTTCGTCATAGATCGGTAATCGTTTATATGGGTTAACAACCACACAAAACAATCCGGAGTATGTCTATATTGTTATGAGAAACAATTCAATGACTTACATAGATCATTCCTGAATAATATCTCGTTTTTAAGTTATTTAAGACTGATGCTTCATTCATAAAGGATAGGTTTGCCATGTCCTTTATCTTGTCGTATTTTGCGGGGTTCATTCTTTGAACATAATCCTTAGGAAACGTACATTTCTTTCCTGACTCTACGAGCTGTACTACAACGTTTTCTCCTTGTTCTTGAAGCTTAATAGCTGCGACAAATGCTTCTCGTTCATGAGGAACCCACACCATATCCTTAGAAGATAAATCTGCCTCCCGCAAAGGCTCTTTCTCATCACGGAGAAGTTCTGCATTCATCGGACTATAAGATGCTCTTTTATTATCACCCATAATTCTAAAACATCGACTAGTTTATACAATGCTTCCGTATGTACAAAACCAGACGTCCCGCTCGCGCTTTTGACTCAAAAAAACAGTAGTATAAATTTTCCTTACGTTGACTCAATAAAACGAATGCAGTCTTAATTCTTTATAAACAAAACTATTTGCTCACTTGCGATGTGTGCTCAATGATTGTAGATAGATATAACAGTATTCCGACTGCGTCCGCGCTAACTACGTGGATAGATAGATTCAGATTTGTGTAGTAAGGACAGAAGGCCTTTTCTAGTATGCTTCTGTGAGTGTAAAGTCTCCTCTTAAAACAGTCAGTTGAAGGTGTGGATACCACTGCTTCGAAAAGCAGGTTCCAAGTATTGATGACTTGTTGTTAAAACCTGTATTACGCGGGTATTTTGTTCGTTCTTGGCTTTTCTACTCGTCTGCTATGTCCTCTGTGATGTCCCGATCTAGTGGGAAGAAAAAGAGAGAATAAGTTAGGTCCAAAATCATTTCTCAGTATTCTGTACATCAAAATTGGATCTCCCCTTAACCTGCGACAGGACAGAGTAAAGAGGTCCAGCTTTTCAAGCCGCTCTTTTTATGGTAAACACCGGAGTTCTGAAATCGCACGGCAGCTGCCCTCTGTACTTTTTCTAGAATGTCCGATTCACCTTTTAAGCAGGGGCTTGCGGCCTGAACGCAGTTCAATAGTTTAGTTCTCACTAAGGTTGTGTATATTGTGGTGAACATGGTAGTATCTAACTTAGTGATAATCCTTTTTAAAGCCCAGAGGGTTCGAAACCCCTTGGCTGCGACCTCCCGGCAATGGGCCGTCGTCTTAAGATCATTACTCACTGTCACCTTTAGATCCTTATGAGACCGGACTACGTATAATGACACATCCTCTATGTTTTACTTAATAACCTTTGAATCCCCCAAGTGAATGTAAACACACTTTTCCGAGTTGATAGGCATCAGCCACTCTTTAGACCAGTTTATCATATTATTTAAGTCTGCCTGAAGAGTAAATGGGTCTTTGTCCCCAGTTATTACTCGCCAAATTTGTACATCGTCAGCGTATAATAACACTGGAGACTGTACTATACTTGTAAGATCATTAATGTACATGATAAAAAGTAAAGGACCTGGGACGGAACCTTGGGGTACTCCACTAAGTACTGGTCTCCAGGTGGAGCACTTGGAATTTATTCTTACTTTTTGTCTATGTCCTACTAGGAAATCTTTAATCCATTTTAAAAGAGGTCCGGCAATACCAAGGTTTGCCAACTTCAATAGCAGTCTATTAGTTGGCACCTTGTCAAAAGCCTTACTGAAGTCTATGTAGACAACATCCACTGAGTTTCCGTTGTCTAGCACATTAATCCAGAACTCCCTAGCTATAAGGAGGCTCATTGTACAGGATAGACCCTTTCTAAAACCATGTTGTGCCATGTTCAGCAAGTTATTGGTTTCCATAAATGCCGTTATGGTCCGTTTGATTATTCTTTCCAGTGTTTTAATTACAACACTGGTGAGGCCTACGGGTCTGTAATTCGATGGAACTTGTCGTGGACCTGTTTTATGTATGGGGGTGACGATTGCGTCCTTCCAGTCCATAGGTAACACACGGTCAAGTGACATATTGAATATCACAGTCAGTGGGGCCGCGATATATTGGGTAATATTTCTCTAGATTTTGGGGTGTAGTTCATCCGGTCCTGTTGACTTCTCCATGTTTAGGGTGCTAAGAGCCTTAAGCATATCGTTTTGGTCGAAGTCCACGGTGAGCAGCTGGTGTGTTGACTCTGTATTTGGGTCTGGTTCATTCTCTAGAGGAGGTTCCTGAATGAAAACTGCCCCAAAGTAGTCAGCCATAGCCTCTGCTTTTTCCTGATCTTCCTCTATCATTTCAGATTCACTTCCTTCCTTGTTATACACTTGTTTCTTACCGATCTGTAGCGTTCCATCGTGCCAAGGCGGATGACAACATCCCAACATTTCTTCTTTTGCCTTGGTAAACGTCGAATATCCCGCCCTATCCAGGGATAACCGTTTTCCTTCTTCTTTGGAACTATCCAGGGTATGTATGGCTGAGTTACCCGATTGTATAACTGCCTAAAAAGAGTCCGTGCCTCTTGTACTGATGCCTTTGGGTCAATTTCCCAGCTTTCAGCCGATGCTGCGGAGTTACTTGCCTGCATATCTGCCTTCCATATGTTAGGACGGGCCGGCGCAACTGTTTGACAGGCAATCTCAGCCATGAATTTGAATAAGATGACTGCATGGTCACTTCTCACTAGTGGTGGGAGAAAAGTCATTTGATCAACGTCATCACCGTGTGTGAAGACTAAATCTAATATAGAAGAAGAGTTTCTTAAGTCATATCTTGTGGGGTTTCTAATGCGTTGGGATAAAGCTAGTCCAATGGATGCTTCTAACAGTTTGAATTCGAACGACGTTACCGATGACCCTACTTCTAAGTTAACCCAGTTTATATACGGTGCATTAAAGTCTCCTACTACTAGGCTTTTACCCTTGTTACATCAGGAATTAAATTTACACATTCTGGACTGCGATATACTGCAACTAATTCAATATCTTGCCGTCTACATTTCAGCTTACATCTCACCAGTTCACACGTCCCTGAAACATGTGCTACTGTCTCAGCTAATCTTATGTTCAGGGTACTTTTCGTGTACAGGATAACCCCGCCTTCCCTACAGTTTAAGCTATCAGCCCTATTGGTTAAAAAACCAGTCAACTGGATTTCACTACCTAATACTTCTGACGTTAATCAAGTTTCCGAGACAGCAATAACGTCCGGTTTTTCTTTATCCACCAATGACCTAAGCTCCGCCATTTTATTTAGTAGGCTGCGAGCATTTGTGTAGCGTAACTTTAAGTCTGTGTACAACCTTCCCTTACCATCCAGAGTGGTTTGAGGATCGTTTTGCTCCGAACTTTTACAATTTGAAAACCCTTAAGAACGAGGTTTCTTTAACCGTTTCGGTGGCGCTCATTTATTTACACTTCTGCATCTCATCTCTTAATACGATCAGCTAGGTCGAGATCCTCACGGACGTATATTCCGGGCCCAATCAGTTTACGTGAGTTACCTAGAATCAGGTTCATTTCTTCAACCGTGGCAAATGTTACTTTCAAGAGGCGGCTTTTCTGAGGACTTTTAGAATCCACCTTTGTCCTATTCTGTAAAGCTTACAAATACTAACTCCTGAAACTGTATCTGAGAGTAGTTTACTTAGTAATGTCTTAATATGATTGAGATCATGTTCAAATCTTGCCTTTGGTTCCTTATCGGAAGATTCTCTTAACTTATAATAATTGACTAACCTATCAGAGAGATATGTCTTGACACGCAGTGAAGTTTTTGTTTCTGATACCGTCTCTCCCGATGACTTGCTAACCAGCTGTGTTTTGCCCTCAGCTTTTTTCTTCTCCTTTCTTTTCCTCTGTACTGAAGTCCATTTATCATCACTCAGGAAAACCACCCCGAATATATTTGGAACGGTGACAGTTTTATCGGGTCTTTAATTTCCACTAGAGGTGTATGATTACCAATGTAAATATCAGTTGGCAATTCACTCCTCGTTAACGTTAGCGGAGATTTTAGTTTCTCGTCAATAACAGTCGGGTATCTTCAATAACAGTCAAACAAATCTGTGGTTCTGTCGATCAAAGTTGAAATTGATATCGTCAAGTCCCTACACGAAAGTCTGTATTTGAAAGCAGGTAGAATATCGAAAAGGCAGCTCGGTGAAATATGTTTAAGTGACACGTCTAATGCATAAGAAAAGTTTACATTTTTGAGAACATTTGTGGAGTTACTTCGACAAAGTCACTTAAAGGAATACCAGGACTTAAATACTCCAAATGAGTAGGGTAATGAATTCAATCAAACTTTATACACTAAACTATCAAAGTATGAGAGGTACCACCAGCATTAATGTTAGGGATAGGTATCAAACAGTGTTTCCCATATTTTACATCCATTTATATAGTTTTAAAAGTATATCAAACAACCATTTTAAGGTACATGTAGGTCATATTCATTTTGACTTTCGTGGTAGATTTTGAACAAGAAACTACCAAACGATTCGCGATTCTGTAGTAAATGCTTTTCAATATTGTTATGACCTTGAATCGCTTTTACCCCGTGATACCTGTTATGACTTGGCCTTGGTCTGTCTAGTCCAAATTATGACCTTGACGCGTTAGGCTGAGTGGCTTAACCTTGAGTGTAATACGCGTGAGTTCGATCGGGGTAGAGAGAACTATTCTAAATCCTGATTGGTTGGCAAGCACGCAAGTGAAAGAAGACAAGACAGTTGGAACACTAAACTCTGGATTCTCTGAATTCGGATTACTACAAAAATGCACATGAATAAATAAGTGCATATCTTGACCACGACGTACGATAATTTGGAAAAATACAGTTATGCCCGAAACAGGGAATTAGGGTAGAAAATATAGTGCAAAATATAATGTTTAAATTACAATATTTTTGGAACAAAAAAGGGTATGCTAGTGAATGATACATAGAACGAAAGCTCGTGTTATGTAGAATAAGATAGGGACAAAAATAAATATAGGTGTTTTACAGGTTTTGAATGAAATGCAATAACGTCCCAAAAAATAGCTTTCGTAATTGTCTGGGCTTCTTAATTCCCCGTTCATAACACCTTCCCCCTTAAAAAAAAGAAAAAAATGGTTAGTTACTATATACAGGTAAGTGCTGAGATATCATCATTGATATCTTCCTTCGGAAACGTATGTTCTCCTCTTTGGGTCTACCTGTAGAATATCTGGTCTTCTGCGTTTCCGTGATGCTTTCCTAATAGGACCTTGTTCATGTTGTGCAGTCTTCTGAGTTGCTGAGCATTTTATGTCGAAACTGTCCAGAATGATTCTCCACATTGAGTCTAATTTCTCGGTTTTCTGTGAAGTGCCAGCATTTTCCAGTATGTGGTTGACATGGCGTGTCCACTTCTGTCCTTCAACTTCCACCACATACATTACGTTCCCTTGTCTCTTAAGTATGCGTCCACTGGTCCATTGTGGAGGTGAATATCGGAAATCACGG